AATGAGGAGGAAAGACAGGAGCAACCAAAGCGGCAGCCCTGTGAAACGACTGTTCGACCCCCAGAGGAGTCACAACCCACCAGTTGAGAATGAGGAGGAAAGACAGGAGCAACCAAAGCGGCAGCCCTGTGAAACGACTGTTCGACCCCCAGAGGAGTCACGACCCACCAGTTGAGAATGAGGAGGAAAGACAGGAGCAACCAAAGCGGCAGCCCTGTGAAACGACTGTTCGACCCCCAGAGGAGTCACGACCCACTGGTTGAGAACAAGGAGGAAAGTCAGGAGGAGCCAAAGTGGCAACCCTGTGAATTGACCTTTCAACTCCCCCAGAGGAGTCGTGACCCACCGGTTGAGAACCGCTGTTCTAAAGTTTTGGCTAAAGGAAGGGGATTCTGAGTTGTTATGGAAAGTCTACCACCGGTAACAGAACAGATTTGCTTTCCAGTCATCCTTACCTTCAAAAATACTCTTTTGAATCAAAACAATACAAGCTTTGTGCTTTTTACCAAAAAATGCATATAATTTATTTTGCATAATCAATTCTGCTTCCGTACGACGCAGCAAGGGACAGAGGCCCAAGGCAAAGAAGGGTCACCGGCCTTCCGAGACTGAACTGAGATTCACCAGGCCGAGAAACCGTGCCTTTTTGTTATAAGTGTTCAAAAAGTAGAAATTCCCCGGATGCGGATGTGTTAAAAAAGGTTTCCAAAGTGGCAGCGCTTTCGGGAGTCTGGGAGCTCTTATACTTTGGCAACAACTCAGTCCGAGTCTCTCGTCCCGGTAGAAATAAAAGTGATCGTTCTGGAGTTTTGCAAAGGAAAATAAACAAGGATCCCAAGAGTTGATCAGGACGAGGAGATTCCGTCGGAAAGGTGTCATCGCCTTCGTATTCCGCTCATCGTAGTTGGAAAGACCTGAATGGGAAGGAAATGCATTTTCGACAGAGACCGCACACATTCCACGAACGGGATTCTTGTTGAGTTCGAATCTAGAATCGGAAGAGACCCCAAAGGCCATCTAGTCCAACCCCCTTCTGCCAAGCAGGAAGACACAATTCGACCCTTCCTAAGAGATGGCCATCGATCTAGACTTCAAATCCTGGAGTCCAACCCCTTTCTGTCAATCAGGAAGACACAATTCAACCTTTCCTAAGAGATGGTCATCCATCCAGACTGCAAATCCTGGAGGCCAACCCCTTTCTGCCAGACAGGAAGACACAATCTGACCCTTCCTGACAGATGGTCATTCATCCAGAATGCAAATCCTGGAGTCCAACCCCTTTCTGTCAATCAGGACATAATCTGACCCTTCCTAAGAGATGGTCATCCATCCAGACTGCAAATCCTGGAGGCCAACCCCTTTCTGCCAGGCAGGAAGACACAATCTGACTCTTCCTGGCAGATGGTCACTCATCCAGACTGCAAATCCTGGAGTCCAACCCCTTTCTGTCAATCAGGAAGACATAATTCAACCCTTCCTAAGAGATGGTCATCCATCCAGACTGCAAATCCTGGAGCCCAACCCTTTTCTGCCAGCCAGGAAGACATAATCTGACCCATCCTAAGAGATGGTCAACCATCCAGACTGCAAATCCTGGAGTCTAACTCCTTTCTGACAACCAGGAGGACACAATCTAACTCTTCCTGACAGATGGTCATTCATCCAGACTGCAAATCCTAGAGTCCAACCCCCTTCTGCCAGCCAGGAAGACACAATCCGACCCTTCCTGACAGATGGTCATCCATCCAGACTGCAAGTCCTGAAGCCCAACCCCCTTCTGCTAGCTAGGAAGACACAATCTCATCCTTCCTGACAGATGGTCATCCATCCAGACTGCAAATCCTGGAGTCCAACCCCCTTCTGCCAGCCAAGAAGACACAATCTGACTCTTCCTGACAGATGGTCATCCATCCAGACTGCAAATCCTGGAGCCCAACCCCCTTCTGCCAGGCAGGAAGATACAATCTGACCCTTCCTAAAAGATGGTCATCCATTCAGACTGCAAAACCTGGAGCCCAACCTCCTTTTGCCAGGCAGGAAGACACAATCTGACTCTTCCTGACAGACGGACATCAATCCAGACTGCAAAACCTGGAGTCCAGCCCCCTTCTGCCAGGCAGGAAGACACAATCCAAGCCCTCCTGACAGAGAGCCTTCCAACCTCTGCTTAAAATCCTCCAGAGAAGGAAAGAGACAGAATCCTAGAGTTGGAAGAGACCCCAGAGGCCATCCAGCCCAACTCCTTTCTGCCCTGCAGGAAAAGCGCAAAGTTACCCCCAACAGGCGGCTATCCAAACCTCTAAAGGAGGAGCTTCCATCAGACTCCAAGGCAGAGAGTTCCACCATTGAACACCTTTTAGTCAGGAAGCTAATGTCAACTGAACTCATTGCTCCAAATCCTAGTCTCCAGGGCAGCAGAAGACACTTTTTCAAATATTTAAAGATGGTTCTTGCGACTCCTTCTCTTAACCGTCTTTCCGGAAGGCTAAATAGACTCAACGCTTTAAGCTGAGCTTGGTTTCCAGACTGATCTCTCTCCTTATTTTTCCTGCCTTGCAAATCCGTTCGGAAAAAAATGCAAAAGGGTGCAAAGAGTTTGTTTCCGAACCGCAGTCTGCATGGAAATGGGAAGCTGACAAGATGGAGGTGAAGCAATCGGACTTTTCGCATGATGAACGGCAGAAAAATATTTTGTAAACAGGACGATTCTGAGCTCCTTATGGCTTGAAAAATGTGCACGCCGCCCCCGTAAAGTGCGTACGAAGGAGGAAGAAGGGTAGCCACGAAAATAGCAAGACCAAGGGAAGTGTATATTCTGATGTGTGGCTAGACCGTAGTGGACACAGAGTTCGACGTCGATCGTCCTTCTCCATCACTTGCCGTGGATACACAAGAATACAACATTTTTTTTCATAATATATATATATATATGTATATGTGTGTTTGTGTATATATAAAAGGTTATGGCATAGAAGTGGGTATTTCGTTCACAAAATTAAAAATTAAAAAAATCCCTGATGATCGTATATCCCTCGTGTGTCCAGTGCAGGGAACAGTTCCTCGTCTCCGTTGGGTTTCGACGCTCTCCAAAATGGAGGTCCAATGAGTAGCATCAACCCGCGTACAGCTCGTCCTCCACCAGCAACGTTTCGCTGAGCAATTTGGTTCTTCCGGCACGAGGAAGCACGTCAACCGTCTCTGAAAGGAGTCCGAGGGAACGAAGGAAGCGATGGACAGGACCAACGGCGGTCCGTGTGAACCGGTGCTCGTCTTCCTCATTCCGAAAAGGGAGGGAACATGTTCAACTCGGGGAACTCCTCGCTATTGTAGCTCGCTCCTTGGTCTCCCAGCATGGACAGCATGTCCTAGTTAAGAAGAGGAACAGGTCACTCCAGGAAAAATGGTATATAATATAATATAATATAATTAATATAATATAATATAATATAATAAATATAATATAATAAATATAATATAATAAATATAATATAATATAATATAATATAAAATAATATATAATATAATATAATATAATATAATATATGGTAATACAATATAATACTACTAATAATAATATGATATTATAATTATACATTTTACATTACATGTAATATTACTAGTATTATTTTTGGTTGTGTCAGGAGCAACGTGAGAAACCGTTGTTGAACTATAAATCCCAGTAACTACAACTCCCAAATGTCAAGATCTATTTTCCCCAAACTCCACCAGTGTTCACATTTGAGCATATTGAGTATTTGTGCCAAGTTTGGTCCAGATCCAGCATTGTTAGAGTCCACAGAACTCTCTGGATATAGGTGAACTACAACTCCCAAACTCAAGGTCAATGCCCACCAAACTCTTCCAGTATTTTCTGTTGGTCATGGTTCTGTGTGCCAAGTTTGGTCCAACTCCATTGTTGGTGGAGTTGAGAATGCTCTTGGATTGTGGGTGAACTATAAATCCCAGCAACCACAACTCCCAAATGTCAAGGTCTATTTTTCCCAAACTCCAGCAGTGTTCACATTGGGGCATATTGAGCATTCATGCCAAGTTTAGTCCAGATCCATCACTGTTTGAGTCTCTGGATGGAGGTGAACTACAACTCCCAAACTCCAGATCAACGCCCACCAAATCCTTCCAGTATTTTCTGTTGGTTTTGGGAGTTCTGTGTGCCAAGTTTGGTTCAATTCCATCATTGGTGGAGTTCAGAATGCTCTTGGATTGTAGGTTATTGTGTGAGTCCACAGTACTCCCTGGATGAAGGTGAACTACAATTCCCAAACTCAAGGTCAACGCCCACCAAACCCTTCCAGTATTTTCTGTTCATCATGGGAGTTCTGTGTGACAAGTTTGGTTCAATTCCATCATTGGTGGAGTTCAGAATGCTCTTGGATTGTAGATTATTGTTTGAGTCCACAGTGCTCCCTGGATGTAGGTGAACTACAACTCCAAAACTCAAGTAAATGCCCACCAAACCCTTCCAGTTTTTTCTGTTAATCATTGGAGTTCTGTGTGACAAGTTTGGTTCAATTCCATCTTTGGTCGGGTCCATGGGGCTATTTAATTATAGGTGAACTATAAAACCTATCAACTACATCTCCCAAATGAGAATATCAATCCCCCCCCCCCCAACCACAGCAATGTTCACAATTGGGAGTATCAGGTATTTGTGCCAAATGTGGTCCAGCGAATCTGCATATCAAATATTTATTTTATGATTCATAACAGTGGAAAAATTATAGTTCTGAAGTACCAACAAAAATAATGTTATGGTTGGGAGTCATCACAACATGAGGAACTGTATTAAGGGGTCACTGGGAGGTGAACCTTACCGGGAAGACTTCTGACTGGTTTGGCGGGGGCTGTCCAGGGCTCTGTCCGTGGTGCTGACTCTGCCACTGAGGCCAAACGTTATCCGCCGTCCGAGTCTGGAACTGTGCTGGCGTCTGACCGCTCTCACCCGCTGCTGTGGAACAAACCCAATGGTTACGGCAAGAAGGATCCTGCCACACAAAAGCCTCTTTCTCCCTCGTAAGAGCACGTCAAGCTCACCAAAGGTGGTATTCCGACCGGCAAGGCTCGGGTACGTTGCCGTCCCACTCGGTGATGCCGTGGACCCAGGGGTCGACATGGGGCTGAAGGAAGACGGGGCCGATTGGAAGCTGCCCATGGCAAAGGATGGGGCCCGGGTCTTGATGGCCTGAGAAGCGACTTGCTGGAAAAGGGGAAAAAAGTGGGATTTCAGTCCCCCAAACCAACTACTTCTTTACATTCAAAGTTGGCAAGACTGCAATCCAACAGAAAATGTAAAAAATCAGATGACTACAGAGGAGATAGAAAAGAAAGAAGAAGTAAATCTAGACCTTAACATATTGTATATACATGTTATATGTATAATATTATGATGCAATACAATATAATACTCATAATAATTATTTATTTATTTTATTTATTTCTTGCACTTATTGACCGCCACTCTCAGCCCTACAGGGCGACTCGTGGCGGTGAACAGCAACATGAAAAGACAATGTACAGTGAGTCACGACAATACACAACAAACTACTACTACATAACATATACTTATGCTAAAAATCCGCTTCGTCAAATCCTGGGGTCATAGTCAATTTCATAGTCATAGTCCATTCCAATGTCGTTCCAATGATACACTCAGTTGAAGGCCTGCTCGAAGAGCCA